GTCACTTGAGATATTGTTTTTCATCCCTAGATTTATTGGATGGCATTAGAAATGTCTTCTAGAAAATACATTATTTTTATTTAACTTTACTTACTTCTTTATAGTCTTTGCCACGTTTTTGCGTGAGGTTCGAAGTATCGTTTCCGGCTGGCCTCGGTGTTGAGGATGTTGCTATAAATTATGAGTACTTAACTCGTTGGATATTTATACATCGTAAGTTTGTGCAACCAACGTACACAGAACGTACGTTGCCTTTTTATATCACGTATAATGGATAACGATCTTGAATTCGCTCTAAATGTTACCCTCGAGTGCTGTAACATATATTTTTGTACGAATCTTACTTCAAAAAATGTTTTACGATGGATTCATCTATACAAATATGTACGAAATGGTGTTTTCTCATTTTATGCTCTCTCTGTGAGTAAATAATTAAACTTTCTTTAAATTTTATTTTGCTACGCTTGTTTTGGCAATGTTCGAGTCGTTAAGCCTTATTTCATTATGTTTATGGTTTTGTTTACCAAATACTTTTTAGTTTTTGCCCTTGAGACAATTTTATGTGTGATAGTAATCTGGGAGATTGTCTCTTTAGTTAGGTAAAGTTCGACCCTTTAGGATATACATTTTAAATTAACCTTGTGTTTTCTTCTCTTAGTGTCATGTGTCAAGGTTCAAGAATTTACAGATCTCGCAGGGCGCCTTGAAATCCATTAAAAGTATCGCACTGTGTTAATGAACGCGTAATGTACAAAATATTTACATTCTAAAATTTAAGATAAATATTTTCAATAAATTTCATTCATTCTTTAAAACATTATATCACGATAGCGCGTAAGTAAAAGATTCCAATCATTTTTGCTATTAATTGCTATTATTGGGATACCTCAGTCATTCCTTAGTTTAAAATAACACTGAGAGAGACCGTTAATAACAATGATTCTGAGTAAAAGGAAATGTAGATGTACTAACTCGTACATGTCAAATTCGTCCCTATCTGTATAACAAACATTTGACTTTCCACAATGCGTACAACGCGGCTAACAAGTTATATGCGTACATTGGACACGTTTGCTGTCGCTTGCCGTCGCTCTGTCAGATTAGATAGCAAGCCGTGTTTGCATATGGTGGTCGTGTTATAATAAGGCCTAGTTTACACTGAAGAGAATAAGGGTGTCTTTTCACTGAGCCTCATATAGGACAGTAAGGTAGAAGTTCGTGATTACTGTACATCTTCAAGTCTAATATCATGAAAATAATTGATTGTTCTTCTTCTTGTTATAGTGCAATGTCACCTTAAATTAATACTACCGTCACATTTCATTACTCATTGTATCTATCCGTTTTCAATCACAAGATGAAGTACACTAATAACGTGTGTAATGTGACCTTTATTGTGCAGTAAAAGCTCTCTGTAACGACTACCGTGTAAAACTTGGCCGTAATCTACTTGTTGATGTGATTAACTTAGTAAATCCAGTTTACAACTTGACACCAGTTACGTTGTTATACATTAAATGTTACCGATAGTTCCCATTGCCCACATTGTACTAAAACATGATATATTTTAAAGGATAATATTGCAATCACTTTCGCTTAAATTTTATGAAGATTTGCTCTCTGACAATTCAGAATATGTCCAGTATTTTGTGTTTGTATTAGCTGTGGTTATTATAACGGTACTACATTCTCAATGTACTATGTAATTAACGTCTTTATGTTTGCGTGTACGGACATCATTAAAGTATTTCGCAATAAGCCTCAATGTCTTGCTAGAAATTCATTTTCCACTAGCAGCTTTACTCCAGGTACTTAAAACCCACACGAATCCGATGCAGTATCCGATAAATAAAATTTGTCGGTTTCAATTAATTGCGACGTGAGAGTAATTCGCTTTCTAGGCCAGTGCAATCGGATTTAATGCAGTTTGTCCGAGATAAACCGGTCGGATGGCTCGCGACTGTGGTTCCCATTCGCACCGCTCGGGATCCCAGCCAACATTTGAAATCGATAGCGATCGAATGTACAGCCTTAACAAACATCGAAGTCGATATATTTTTAATATTTACTTTTTGATTCATCGTATCGAGGACATGTGCTTGTAAAAATACGACGAATTAATGTGAGGCGATAAAAAACTTTTGCAACACATGGCGAAAATAAAATTTGCGGTCTAAATTCGAGCAGACAAAAAATATTTAGATAACATCGTCAAGTGTCGGAGAAAGTCGTTGAACTTTGGCTCGCGGTGTCTGAAGAGATAAAAGAATATAAAATTAAATATCTTCGAAGACGCGGGGGGTGGCTGCGACGCGGCGGCGCCAAACGCGCTTTTGGCAACCGTCGGCCGACCAGACATTGTCGGGGAAAATATCAGTTTGATATCTCCACGTCGTACTTCGGAAACTTGCCACAACGCTAATAAAGATATATTCGAAAGTTATATGAAAGTTTTTGGAAGTTTCTCCATTCTTGAGAGGAAACCTTTTCTGAATTTTTATACCCGTGTTATCAAATTTCTTTCAACCACATAGATGTTTTCAACTCTGAAGAATACTGCATTATAAGAACAAAGATTATCAAAAGAAGTATAATGTTTTAACAAGTTTGAACGTTCTTGTTTAAGCTTATTTTCTACATTGAATTGTGTCCCAGAGTCTCATATACTTATATTATATAGAAAATTATAGACGTTGTGTTCGTTTACAGACAATTTCATATGCCTCGTACATATTTTTGGTATTTAAAAGAGTCAAATTTAAATTCCATATTGATACAAATGGCGTCGCATCCGTTTCGAATCGTAAACAATACATTGGGAGTGTTTGGTATGAACTGTTGCAGCTGCGGTGCTGGGTGTTGTGTAAACAATGTCTTCACAATTGTATTGTCTATTCTATAATGCTCTGTATTTACAATTGTCTACTTTACAACATGATCCGTACTATCTTATTGTATAAACATAGAGTTAGGAAATGTTAAGAAGTGTCTATTAGAAAAAATACTACAGCAAATTAAATGTAATTGTAATATGCTGTAGTACATATTTTATCATTTTCCCTATTTCCTTTTTTATTATATTTACTACGGAGCGGATGAGATGTTTTTTCAAATCTTTTCCTTTGTCAAATCTGAGATCATATTGATTATCGAATATATTTATGACACTTATCAGGCAATCACTAAGTATTTAGATTTTCATGTGATACGATTTTTTCTTACCTCATTGTGTCATATGATATTTGTATTTGGTCGTACGTCATTTTAACCAATATTTATCTCCGATCATGTCTATAACTTGGGTATTTATTTATATTAAGGAATTAATATCTTTATCACTTCACAGGAGCCTGTTTAATCATTTTAATATTATTACTATAGTGGTTGTGATTATATATTAAAAAATGTAACTATATCGCTAACATTAAGATTATAATAATTAATTATAGAAAACACTTTATACAAGACCAGCTTTCGTCCGTGACTCTGTCCGCGTGGAATTAAAAATCATGAAAGCGAGTAGCCTATGTTGCTTTGACTATCCTCTTCGGTCATACCAAATTTTATCGAGATCCGTTCAGCAGTTTAGGCTATTAACTCTAACAAACATCCATCCATTCATCCATCCGTGTAAACTTTCGTGTTTATAATATCAGTAAGATTATATTTATACAAAAACCTTCGAAGTTGTGCGTAATCTTCCGTCACTTAGTAACACAATCTTGAGGCTTATCGTAAATTAATTTCTGTGTATATTGTTCAAATATTACGTAGTATAATTATATAACAGTATGGAATTCCGCGTATCTCCTACTAACAAAAGGAACTCCAAGACTGTGTTATTACTAAATGTATTTGTATGCTTACAATGTCATTGTTTTAATTCCTTGTTATTTGAAATACATTTTATGCTACATTATCTAACTATAGAGGTATATTATTATGGTAGAGTGAGAATTATTTGACACTAGCTGTTGATCGCGACTTTGCTTGATTGTGACTTTGAGTGAAATTATAAAAATTATAAAAACTATAGCCTATGTTACTCACCCATAACGTAGCTTTTTATTGATGGAAGAATGTTTCAAATCGGCTAAGTAGTTTTTGAGTTATTTCAATACATACAAAAATACAAATCTTACCTCTTTATAATGTTAGTGTAGATAATTCAACGTAAAAACAGGCGCAACAAATAAGCTTCAACTATTCCTTTGTAAGTACGATGCGCAGTTTCGTGTAATTCACATTTAGTGAATGAGTACACTGCGTATACAAATAATTCATGAAAATGAAAACATAAATCCCATCTACCGCAGAAAAAGCGAAAAGAAACTGTTGCTCAGAACAAGAATTTACGCGAACACGCGAACGGCCGTTAAGAGAAGTTATTGTCTATTAGATTGTTATTTAAGGGGTGGCGTTAGCATGACTAGCGGTTGTAAATCGAGTTATTAATTGAGGATTATGTGATCCCTACTTTATAGTCTGTCTCCCTCTGTTTTGCGTGCGCGATAATTTGCTCGTTTACCTTATAGGTGTAAACCTCTGTATTAAGATATTCACCTGTGAATGGCATTTCCGAGGTCTATACGCACATAAACAAAACTATCTAATGTTCTACTTTCTAGTATCTATTATAGAATAGAATATTTAAAATTTGTCTGGTGTTCTTGAGGATTTTATAAACGCGTCCTTTAGATTTTTAATGTTCATAGATAGTCTGATGATGATTTTCGACTAAAGTTTAGTTACTATAATAAATCATTTATGCCAAGATAAAGGTTTAATAGTGGTTTGATTAATTTGTTACCTTATGTAGTACTTATATTCTGATGAAAAACGTAACCAAACCAATATGCTATTGGCGTTTCGTTTTTATATCGAATACGTTTTTATTATGTTTTGTGTTTTCGTTTATCCTTATTTATGGGAGCTTGTTTATGTTTAATTTTTACCTGAAATTGACGGTTTTGTTTATCGAATCGTGTTTTTGTTCGCAGGCGTGACAATGAGAGAAAAAAGGGGAGGCGCTATGAGTAAAATGCAAAAGCTCAGAAAGCGCCTGTCCCTTAGCTTCGGTAGATTATGTGAGTATTTTACAATTGGCTATATATTTCTAAATTATGTTTTTATTTTATTAACAAATTATGAAAAATAGAGATCCCACAATTGCAACTTGGCTTGTTATTCTATCGTTACTCAATATATAATTTTCAATACCAAAATTTATTCAAAAAGGGTATTTTGTCTTTCAAATTATAGGTTCAAAATAGTGTAGAGACATTATAGAAATACCACACAATGTAAAATAAATTTAAAATAATCATATAATTGTGTAATGAAACGATTTATTTCGCAATATTTTTACGGTATGCATCAGAAATAGCATTATAAACAGATTGTTTGGTACACAAATAAACTCTATATTTCGGTTATGCGCTTAAATTAGAACATGTATCGGGCGTATTATTAAATGTTCAGAACATGTGACACAAAGCAGGCAAACAGACGTATTTATATTTGGATTACGTGCGTCGTAATGTTTATTGTATTATTACACTCTAATTAATTAACTCGTGATTTGTTAAAGGTTCATGTTGGGTTGCTGAAGTTCCCTATTTTATCATTATAATTATGTGATTCATTAGTATTAAATTGTATTATGTTTTAATATAGTAAAACTTAAGTTACGTAGTTAGGAAACGAATTATATGAAGTTATTAAACTTTAAGCGGTAATTAAATGTAGCTGGGAAACCGGCCATTAATGTGTTACATTAAATGAAGGTACTAAATGTGTGTTGCATTATAAAACTACTTGTGTGTAAATGGCAATATTAATTGAATTAAATGTTTGCAGATAAAAATAATGATAAGCCTAGTTGATAATAAATGAACAATGTCTGGAATTTTATCTATTTTAGTTACAATGGATTACATTTGATTAAGTTGAAAAAAATAGATGTGAGTGTGGTTTCTTTGAAATTAGGTATGTGTTCAGTTTAGCATTTATTCTATTATTTCAGTTGAAAAATTTACACAGAATATGGTAAAGCAGTAAATGTAAGCGACGTTAAATCCACCGTAAGTTATAAATGCAGACAGAAGGATTTTCACGTTAAAATGAAACGATGCATGAAAACTGTTTTGGTTAAACTTCTGTTAGATACTTTGGCTAAATGTGTGCTTTTTTTCTATTATAGAATTCTTTACATTGTTCAAAATTCATTATGCAATATAGACAACGGTTAAATGCTTTACAACAGCGATGTCGTAAAGTATGGTGTTTTATCCTTTCGCGGTACTCTACATGAAATAAAATGTTTAATTTGCCCCTTTAAAGATAGTGTGACCAGTCAGCCGAGCAACACTTTTGTTTGTTATAGGATACTACTAAATCACATGTTTATCATGTTGATGTTTTATAATTATTTATACAAATCACGACTGGAAACTTAATGAATGTAAATTTTACGTATATATAAAATTTTCCATAGCTCAGAAACTTGCTAATGATCCTAAGTTATTTATAGTATAATGTGGGCCCTATATATTAGATGGTTCACGCTCTGTTTGATGTGGTATTTTTAGTATCATGATATTTTAACAGTATTTAGTTTAAACATTATTACTCTAGTGATAAATTTGGTTCACCATTGGAAGATATTTCAGTTTCGCTTATTTAGTCTAAATTCTTCACAGTGTGTAGTTGTGTGTAGTAAAGTTGTTGTGAATTTTTATAATTTCAATACTATTTTAAGTCAGATGGGTTTGTTTATTTTTTTATACTTATTTTTTAATGTATATTAACTTAGTTGCAACAAGTTTTATTATGTAATTGATATCTTACAATGTTTACATAGCAGTTGATTGTACATTGATGTAACAATTTTCCTTAAAAGGTCATTTACCTTTTAAGATTCCACGTTTCCGAGTAGTACTCTACTTTGTTTTGTTTTTAGTGTTGCTACAACTTGTAAATTTTGATTATTTAATATATTTACAACCTTATATGCCATAAAGAAAGCGGATACAAAAAGAACCAGATACAAATTACTACGCTCTTGCGGTTTTCTTAAATGCATTTGTAAAATGGGTTACCTAAATATACATAAAAGTAAACAAGTGCTAAATTATCATGTATATCCACTAGGAAGATATAACGTCTTTAATCTCTTAATTACGTTCATCTATAAATTGTATTTTTAAACCCAAGATTTTATGAATTGTAAACATGAAGCGAAAGCGGCGAATAAATATCGGAGATAAAAAGTTACCACATCCTTGTCGTTTCCATGGAAAGATAAATGGAGTTTGGCATTCTGATTTATTGTACTGTTATATGTTTTGCGAGCAGACATTAAGACATATAGACAAGGCATGAATAAAATTTTTTCACTGGTACATTCTTTGAAAGGTACTATGGTAGTTGTAAAACATTTTACAAAATTATACAAGTTCCATCTATTGTTATAAATAAACGTAACATTGTCATTAAATAAAATAAAAAACATTTAAGTATTATTTAATGACACCTGTTGGTAATTAATTTTAATGTAATTTATTATAATGACATGTGGATCGTGCGAAAAATGTCTCAAATGAAGTGTCAACTATGGTTCTTCTATATTTTTTCAATCTCTTTGTTCACGATACATCGTTAACCATATAAAAACAGAGTTCCTCAGCCCACATAAGGAGTATCGCGTAACACATCGAGAACAGTTATTTTAAACGTTGTTACAACTGTGTTATTATGTTATTTTTATGGGTCGTCATTTTTAGCGCGTACCGCAAAGGATTTAGTAATTTGTTTACCGTGTAACAAGTCGGAGTATAACGGTCTGTCCCACCAAATTGTAAATTTTTTGATAACAATTGAACGTGTAAAATATATAGATTGTGTTACCTTATCTGACAGTGACGTCATTTTTAAGCTATCTGAGCCTCTATCACTTAGTGGTGGGACAGGCCCTAAATATAATTAAATACATGGTTGAAATAACCATAGATAATATCAAATGATTTGAAGTAATTCATTGACAATATTGGTTACATATTATACACTTGATATTTGGGGTAAAATAGACGAAAATAACATTTTAGTGTAGACTTATTACGATTAACTTGTAAATCATTTCTGAACACTAACGGAGTATGACGTAATGTAGTTATTTATTACTTTGTTTAGTTTGTAACTATTATCTTATCGTATTTTTATGTATCGGGCAATCGATACGGAACTTGTTATCACTACAGTAACGGTTTCTCTGTGCCGGTCAAATCTTATCAGTCAACGAATCCTGTGAACTCTTACGGTAACACATTGTTAAGTTTCTTTCCTGTTTTCAGTCGTAGGAATTTTTAATTGGTCTTTACGAACACAAATACTCACACGATTAAAGAATCGGAGGAATTAAATGGTCACTAAGAGAGACCTTTAGTGTATTTAGTTAGAGAGATCAAAGTAAGTTACTAAGGAGTAAAAGCATGGTAAGAGCATGTTATGTGGATGGATGAATCGCATGTAAGAAGGACGTTAGTTATGAGAGTGGTACCCCGGTAGAGGTAAACCTTAAAAGAGATGGATGGGTTGCGTGAATGATGACATGACCGAGAAGGGAGTGATGACTGAGATGACGGATGATAGAGTTATTTGGAGGACAAAAAACCGGTGGCCCGACCCTACGGAAGTAAGATAAAGTAGGGGAGATAACTGATGATGATTAAACTAAGTTATAAAGTAGCCTTTACATGTTATTTCAGTCAGTGTGGTAGTTATAGGCGTCGTTTCTCATTCACTAGAGCAATCGATGTAGATGGAAATCGAATAATATTCAGATTTATTTTATTAATTACACATGTAAATATTTAACCTCACTGCCTAAGTAATAAGTACTTCGATGTGATTTAGGGCGGCATTTGTTTTTTTAACGAAGGCCGTTGAACTCGACCATGAGCTTGTATGTTTTAAATGTTACAAAACAAATCCTGTATTTAATTTTGGATTACATTCAAGAAAAAAAATAGTTGTTGATTTCAAATGACCAGAATTAACTTTATTACTTGCGGTGTTTAAACATATCTTCTGGATAGAAGTTATCTTTTTGCTAAGAAGCATTGACATTGTATGTACTCTTATATACGTCTCTATCAGTGTTATATGTGCTTTCAGTCGTTTTACTAGGACATTAACGACATCTTGCCTTGTTTACAGGATGAGTAATATCTCGTAGTAAAGATGTTTGCAGTAAGTCGATATTTCTGACCGAGAAATAAAGCAAAAGTTGATGATAAAAGCGTCGCTGGCCGTCTGTCTCATTAACGTTATTTAGTTCCCGCGGGCGAAAGTAATTAGTACATTGCGAGCGACGCCGCGACGGCGACGCGAACGGCTCGCTGTTTAACGAACACGATAAAAATGTTTTCATTTTTAATTAAAAATACAATGTAATTATTATTTAAGTAAGTACCTACAGTAGGTATTTTCGATTCCAAATATTGAGTGTAAAAACGATAAAAGCTTGTCATGTAAGTTGCTGCAATACGGTAACGGTTGTTTCACTAAAATTTAAAAGATTATTTGATATTATCCTTTTACCGCATTAAGAAATATTTACGTTTGATTTACAAATCGTGTCAACATTATTGGTTACTGATGCGGGAAGTAAATAATGGTTTGACGTTACTCGTCACACAACATAAGGTTCGATCGCGTCATGCTCGACCGATATTGCCGAACATATAGGCTACATATGGGCTCTTGTATAGAACAATTCACGATCCTATATATGATATGATAGTCTATTCAAATGCGACAATCATTGCATGACGTTTGTTATACACTCGTGACCGCGGTACTAATGAGTTTTGTACTTCCAATTTTTGGTTTCTTTACGTGTTACAGATTTTTTAGTCATTGTGTTACTATATAATTTTAATGTATGGTGGCTAAATTCTGGGTTTGGTAACATTTAGTTTCGAATCACTTTCGTTTTTGTAAGTGACAGAACAAGTTCAGTATTGTGTGTATTAATCCAAAAACGGGAACAAAGTTTAGATTTGATATGGACGCAGATATGAGTATT